AGAAAATTTCTCTTGGGGCAGACAGACCAGCACCGGACCAGGGCTGAATTCTCAAAGTCCAAGGGAACTGCAATGTCATGTCACCAGGTGCCCCTGGTGACACACAGCATGGCCTCCTTACAGGACACACTCAGTGCCTTGCTTGGGAGCCAGAAGGAACACATAGCTATTGATCTGTTCATCTGACAGATTACTGATGGAGTGACCCAAAGGCAGCAGCGCCCATGAGGAAGGCAGTGAAGAGCTGAGAGGACTCTCAGCAAGGCACACCTGAGCCAGACAGCTGCGTGGATCACGGCACCACAATGCAGCATGCTCCGACACGGAGAAAACAGATGGCAGGAGGGCCCAGCCTCACATTACTTGGGCCAGTCAGCTCTTTGCCTTTAGAACACTGCCTATCAGACCATCTTGTGGGCAATACAATTATACCTCCCACCAAGGATGGATGCCATCTGACTGGACCAGTTAAGGATGAGCAAAAGTGTGACAGGTTTGTGTACACTGGGAAGAAGCAAGGCACGTGACAAGTGCACTGACCACTGTACCCACAGTGGCTTTTCTATTCCCTCTTTGGGATTGTTGTATGACCCTTCCTGGGTCCTTGTGGGGGTTCCTGCACCAGTCAGCATTCACTATGAACTTAAAAAAATATTAAAAATATGAAGTCAGGTGGTGGCAGCACATGCCTTTAATCCCAGCATTTGGGAGGCACACGCAGGTGGATTTCTGTGAGTTCGAGGCCAGCCTGGTCTACAGAGTAAGTTCCAGGACAGATAGGACTGTTTCAGAGAAACCCTAAAGAGAGAGAGAGAGAGAGAGAGAGAGAGAGAGAGAGAGAGAGAGAAGAAAAAGATATGAGTGTTTTAAACACTTGTGGTATGTTTGTGCACCACATGAGTGTCTGGTGCCAAGGTCAGAAGAGGGCATCAGGCCCCTGCAGCAGAAGCTATGGAAGGTTAGAGGTGCTCCATAAAAGCAGCAAGTGCAAATAAATAAATAAATAAATAAAATAAAAAAGCAGCAAGTGCTCCTAACCACTGACCCATCTTTCCAACCATCCTGTACACATTTTTTAAGGAGATATTTATTTATTATGCACAGTGTTTTGTCTGCATGCCTGAAGAGAACGCCAGGTCTCATTACAGATGGCTGCTGGGAATTGAACTCAAGACCTCTGGAAGAGCAGCCAGTGCTCTAAACGGCTAAGCCATCTCTCCAGCCCCACTGCACACTCTGACTGCCCAGGCTGAGGCCAGTGCTGAAGTTCAGTAAGTAAAGGGGATTCTAGCGTTCAGTGTGTAGAGCCAGTGAGTGGGTCAGAGAGCAGGCTCCTCATTCCCAGTGCCAAGCTGGGTCTGTGGCGTCAGAGCTCAGACAGCCCAGCAGCAGCATTTCTAGCTGGGATGCCCTAGGTGGCCCTGGGGAAGAATGGGAAACAGCCAAAGGCCACAAAGGCTTTGTCCTGCCCCTGCCCCGCCCACCATCGTATGACACTTAGGTAGTGACACCTTGTTAGATGTGCGTGTTCACATGCCAGCTAGAGATCACCTCCGGGTTAAAGGTCCTGGCCAGAGTTGTGGTCACACACAAGGACGGCCTTTCATCCCTCTCCAGCACTTCTAGGAGGCAGTCTCAGGCCCTTCAGAATCAGAAAGTCTGGACCCTGCAGGGCACCTGGTGCCCCTGGGAGTGAGAATGGCTGGATTTCCGCATCCCCAGGGGCTGTTTCTCTATTGGTCTTTGCCCCTCCCCCCCCAAACACTCTCTCCTTCTGGAGTCTTTTTTATCTTTTTTCATTTTACATACCAATGCCAGTTCCCTTTCCTTCCCTCCTTCTGGAGTCTTAAGACTGTCCCTCCTTTTCCTCCTTTGCTCTTGACACCTCTACCAACCAACACTGAATCACTGACAAGGGCTATAGTGGAGGCTCTGCTGCAGCAAAATCAACACAATGGACCCTCAGGCTCTGCGGAGCACTGGGCATGCCCACCATTTCTGCAGCTGTGCAGTAGAAACCAGAGCCCCCACTCTGGGTCGGGACCGAACCCCACTCTTTCTCCACGTGGATCTAGGCCTGGCTGCTGACTGGGTGGCATGGGGGGCAGAGTGACAGCTTTCTCCAGGTTCTGTGGTCTGCAGACCTCAAGACCAGGCTCTGGAGGGGCAAGTCACACATCAGCTGGCTCCCCTAGTGGCTGCTCACCCTGGAGCAGCTCAGAGCAGGGAGTCTGGAGTGAGGCAGTGTGGGAGCGGGTGGGAGCTCTGAAAGGCGGCAGCATGGCTGGGAATGGGAAATGATCATTATTCTTGGGGTGGGCACCTAAGAACCACTCTCACAACTTGGAACTTCACGCTTTATTTTTTTCTGTATGTAGTGTTTGTGTATTTATGCGTGTGCACGTCACATCTGGGCTCTGAGTGCACTCCTCTATCATCCTCACCTTGTTTTGAGGCAGGGTCTCTCACAGGGCCCACTGACCAGCATTTGGAAATCCTCCTGCTCCCCAAGTATGAGGCTTACAGGCGGGCACCGCCACAGCTGGTTTTCATGTGGGCACTGGGAATCCAAACTCAGTTTGTCAGGCTTGCACGGCTGGCACTTTACCCATGGAGCCACTTTTCCAGCCCAGACTGTATGAAAAGAATTTTTACTGTATGAACAGTGCCTGTCAACTAAAGACACTTTCAGTGAAGCACTTTGTGCTGACCCGAATGTCCGGTTCCCACAGGGGATGATGGCAGAGCTACTTGAAAACCAGGAAGCCTGTCTCAGAAGGGGCTTAACCCCTTTGGTGATAGCAGTGCTGAATCCTGACCAGGAGTCTCCTATGACTGCACCTCAGAGGTTTGCATTTGTACCACAGACCTGGTGGCAGAGCTTTGCCAGGTGGGGTTATTGGCAGCAAGAAAGGATGAAAGGCAGCCAGCTAATCAGCACAGATCACAAAGAAGGAATTACAACAGTTCTCAACCTGTGGGTCGAATGACCCTTTCACAAGGGTCACCTAAGACCATCTACACCAGATATTTACATTACGATTCTTAACAGTAATACAATTACAGTTATGAAGTAGCAAGGAATATAATCTTATGGCCATGGGTCAGCACAGCCTGAAGAACTGTATTAAGGGATCACAGCATTAGGAAGGGTGACAACCACTGAGTCACAAGAAAGCAGACAGGGAGCACCAGGCTTCCCTGGGATCATAGACACGAGCTCCAGCATGGAATCTTTATTGGACATGTTTGCTTTGCAGTGAAATGCCTCCATACAGTGGCCAGCCCACCAATCCCGAACACATCCATACCCCATGCTTGCAAATAACCAACGGTTAATGCTACAATTACTAAGTGGCCCCAGTCCCCTCATCCCAACTTGAATAGGCACAAAGGCCCATAAGACCTCCTGCAGATAAGTCCTCTGTGTTATTCGGCCTATTATTTGGGTCATCTAGAAAAACTGCCTAGGAATCAGAAAGCTCTCTTGTGAGGACAGGCTATCTGGCCCTCTGCAGAGGGAGGCGGTGCATGGATGCTAAGGCTGGCCTTCCAGCTCCCCATCTATGGCACAGACTCAGCATCCTGTCATGGGAGTGAATCTGTCTCACTTTGTTCTTTACGGACACACCAGGAACTCGTGTGCCTTCCCCAGTGGCCTATCTGCAATCTCCTTGCTGTCAGGATCATGCCAGATCCATGATCATGTCTGCTCCCAAGCTGGTACTGTCCCTTGGTGAAGTCTCTTTATAGTGCTGGGAAGCAGGGAGGTGGGTCCCTGCCCAGATAGAGAGCCACCTAAATTTATGATATATTTTAAAAAAATTTATTTATTCATTATGTATACAGTGTTCTGTCTGCATGTGTGCCTGCAGCTCAGAAGAGGGTACCAGATCTCATTACAGGTGGTTGTGAGTCACCATGTGGGTGCTAGGAATTGAACTCAGGACCTTTGGAACAGCAGGCAATGCTCTTAACTTCTGAGCCATCTCTCCAGCCCCAATTTATGATGTTTTTAAAGCATGAAACACATCCTACAGGACAGAAGAGGCCCCCGGGGAATTGGGAGACTCCTTGGCCTACAACCTGTGAACACATTCTAGGTGGTACATGTATGAGCAAGACTCCTATGAATGTATTTCACAGGTTTATACCAGGGCGGCCTTGGGAAAGCTGGAGTAAAAGGCAGATCTTTGAGAACACTGGCCTGTTCTAAATTAATACCTTTTCAGCCAAGGGATACGAACAAAGTCCTCACCCAGCTCTAGAGAGGAAAGGCAGCAGCAGTGGGCAGGGTGGGTTGCTGGGCGGCACCATGATATGCTAGGGCTGGGCAGGCGACAGAGGGCACAAGCTGAGGTGGGCAATGGAGTATGAGAGCTGGGCTGGGGCCGGGGGGGGTGGCTAGGAACTTCCTGTGAGGATCAGCAGCTTGGCAGAGGGAGGTTGAAATGCTCAGCTGTCCTCTTGGGTATGCGGAACTGGGCCAGCAACCTCATCAGACTAATGCTTCCTCGAGGAACACACTTTGGGATAGACATGGGAGGTGACCAGAGGCCACTGAAAATAAACACAGAAATCTCTGACGCGCTTCCCCTTCTGCAAAGACTGGCTTTGGACTCCACTCCAAGAGCCAACAGGTGTTGTGAGGTATGGGGAGCCCACCATGTGGTACAGAGCAGCAATCCAGTGTTAGTTTGCATAGTTAGCGCTCTCGGGGCAGAATGCTCCCTGGCTTAGAAAGCGTGCCCTGCAGCTGGCTGCCAGCAGACAATGCTGCAGGGCACCAGGCCTGCAGTCAGTATGCCAGGGAGGGCTAAGGAAGTCAATGGGAAAGCAAGGTCGCTGGGGTGGGGCAGTGGTGCAAGGGGTAAGGGAAAGGAGAAGGAGGGGAGAGAAGAGGAGGGGAAGGAAGACTGAAGGGTCAAGAAGAGCAGAAAGTCCACAAGCACCTCAGGAACTGTGCGGCCCTGGCTGGCTGAGCAGGCAGAGGTTGGAGAGTGGAGACACGTAGGCATTTATTCCGAAGTGGTTTCTGAAGGAAAACTGGACAAACACAGACCTGGTGTGAGGCAGGATCTTTGACCCTGGAGTGAGCTGTTCCTCCAGAGAGAATGAACAGACAGAACTCTGCTAGTCAAATGGAAGAGCTGACTGAGTCCTTGACACTGTTAAGAACCAGGACTCAGAGCCTAACACTTGCTCCTAATGGTCAAAAAATAATTTTCTAACAAAATCCACACTTTATTAAATGTCACAATTATAGCTTCCAGTCCACAGCACTCTTAAAGGAAGCATGGACACCTCACACAGGCAGAGGCAGAGGTGGGGGACAGAAAGTAGGGCTATAAATACCACAGTAGCAGTGCAATGTGCACCCCATTTTTGCTCAGTCTCTCCAACACAAGGGCTTCACCGTTCAAGCACGGTTGTGTGCAGCCATCTGGGCTGAGACTCAAGCTGCAGAGCAGCTGGTGAGCTGGGGCAACTGGGCAGCACTGGGCTCCAACCAGACTCCTCTACCCAAGGACACCGCTGAATGCTAGCTCACAGCTCTCAAGATAGGAAGATGAGATGCATTCACAGTGCAGGATAAAGAGCTACAAGTTCCCTTTCCACGGCCTGGGCACTCCGGGCCAGTCTTCCCAGCCCCATGTTAGGCTTTTGATCCTATCAATCCAGACTTCCCACCTTCCCGACTGTGCACCCATGCTGCAGAAGGACCAGGCTGTCCCCTATAGTCACTCAGGGAGGCCCGTGGGCTAGGCTGTCCACAGTTTCCCTCTTGCTCTCACCACTGAGTAGTTTTATTAAAACTCAGCAACTGAGGCCCCTTATAAAAACCCTGCCTGGGGAGGCCCCCACCTTCTGTGAGTGTAGCACCTACTCAACAATGTCTTCTGCAGGGAAGCAGCAGCCCGCCCTCTGAGGGCCAGGCTTAGATGTCACCACAGGAACAAGCTTCTGCAGAGCTGGCTGAGCTCTTATTTGTAGAAAAGAAAGCATTCAAAACTATCCCCATCTCCTTTCCAACTCCCTTCCCATCACATACCTTAAACAAATAAACAAGAACAAAACAAAAAAGGAGGAAAAGGTCCCTAAGGGAGTCCTTCAGGCCTAGCTACATTTCTCCAGATAGACCAGCTGTGGACCTGCTCACCCTTGGACAGAAGAGGTGGTTTCTTGCTGAAGGCAAATGGGAGGTAGTAGCTGTCAACCCGGAGAGCCTGTTCCTTGAAGTTGTGACTCACCAACAAGTCGTGGACACTAAGCTGCTTTCAGGTGCCGAGCTGGTCACCTGTGCCCTGGGTCACATGTCTTCCAAGCTCGCCTCTGCAGCAGCACTGTCCCATGCAGGCAGCCGCTGGTGTTCCCGCCCAGGCTCTGAACAGACCTCGCTGCCTCAGGTCCCTGAGCATGAGCAGCTCAACTGTGCTCACTTCCTTCACGCATGCTTGGAATATGTGGTTGAGGCTCAGAAGTCCCCCTGGCCCATGCAAGATGTGGAACAAGTCTTTCATAAGTATTTGCTTAGCTGTAGCCCTTCTGGCTCCCAGTGGCTCCTTAAGGAACACTCTCCTCTTTTATCTCATGCTGATCAGAAGACACAGGGGTAAGGAGAGGAAGGCAGGCGGCTGCTCTGGACAGGCAGGGGCCAGAGTCTGGAGAGCACTTCTGGAGCCTCAAGGCTTCTCTCCCCTTCACACACGCCTAGAGACAACTACTTCACCAACAGGGCTGCAGTGCTGGCAGTGGCCTGGACAGCAACACAATGGGCCCTCTCAGCTGGCCTCTAGTACCACACTGTTCTAGGTCACCATTAGAAGAGGGGACAGCATTTAGAGTAGTGTTTGGGGCTATGGCCCTGGACAGGTGCTTCAAACCACCTAGGGTGACTATTTGGCTTTTTAAAGTAATTCCATTCATTTCTGTTGCTGTTGCTCCCCAAAGGCAATCTCTCCCTTCTTTGTGTTCTTGGCAGACATCTGCCTACATCCCAAAGTAACTTCTTTCCCCCCCACCCTGGTACTAGGATTGAACTACACCCTCAGCCTCCAAAGCCCTGTGAGCAGCAGCAGCCTGCCCTTCCCACCACCACAGCCTTTCTGAGTGGTAGCCACTGGGGTTCCCCTGTGAAGACCCCAGATGGACTCTCCTTTACCCCTCCTCTCTGCTCCTACCCTCCCTGAGGGACAGTCCTAGCTGGAGCCCACCGCAATCAGGTTTTCTAAGAGTACATAAGTAGGTGTCCACGCACTGAGCTGTGCTCTGGGTATGGAGTGTCACTGTTGGGAGATGCCACACTGTCAGGAAGACGCTTGCTCACGACAGGGCTGTGACTAGGCTGTTCTCATTGACAGTGCATCCTCAGAGCGGGGTCCATCACGCGGTGCACTCCCAGTCACCCTGGGGCTCCACAGCACCATTGGTCACTTTCCTGACTTTCTTCATGTTCTCCATCACTCCTGACGCTGTCACTCTGAAAAAGAAGAGAAGTCAAAATGCTGGGGAATCTGTAACCCTGCAGTAAAGCTTCTTGTAGGCCAAGATGGAAACCTGGCCTCCTCCCGCTAGTGTGACGCTGTGTGCTGTGCTATGTGGTGCTGGCAGGCCACTGACCTTTCTAAGCCTAAGTACAAAGAGAAATCTTCCCTTCCAACCACCACGAGGAAAAAGAAGATTCCCCACGTCTCCATCAAGCTGTCCTCACTGCCAACGTGAATTTGTAGACCATATTCATATTATCGTTATGGTTATGGAACATTCAGAAAAGGAAGCTAAGTGGTGGATGGACACCTGCAGGAGCTACACACAGTCACTCCCAAGGTACAGGACAGAACCACAGGCTCAGGGCTCAAAACCCTGCCCTGTGGACAGTTAACACGGCTTCCTCATGGTCTGGTGTTCCCCCGCCATTGCAAGAAGCCCTCAGCTTCTCTTCTATGCTGCTGCTGCCCGGCTCAGCTCTTCTGCACAATTATCTCACCCCACTCTCCTCCTGCTCTTCACCTAGCTGGTCAGCTTCATCCTATCTTTCAGCTCAGGCTTCCAAGCGCTGTGTCCCTGAGAGCTAAGTGTCATCAGACAGCTGCTAGTGCCCAC